CAGAAACTGCTTCATCAATACTTCATTCAGTGACTGCATGTGAATGAATTTGTTTATGCATGTCACACTCTGCGCTAGAAACGCTTACCACATCTTCTGTGGTGTTTCTTTATTTCACAGGGGAACACAGGGAGGAACGTTATTATTTGATAATGCCATTTGGTCCAAAAGGTCACGAGGATGGGAGGAGAGAGCGAGAAGAAGGAGGAGGAAAAACGAGTAGTATGAGGCAGTTATGGTGGAGTGGTGTTGGTGGTCAGTCCAATGGGAAACCAGGTGCTGATGTTGGGATAGTTTCCATAGTAACTCCTCCTCCTCCTCCCTGTCTGGTTCGCTCCTCTTCTCTCGCCAACACTCCCGTCACACATAAGAACACCCACTGAAACAAGTGCACAACTGCTCGCTCAGACCTCCCATCTTTACCTCATCGCGGGCTTTCTGCGGTTTTGCTTTGATATCTCTTGCTCAAATCAATTTGAGCCTTTGTGTGGTCATATTTATTTACCATAAAGCTGCCTTCTTAACAGTCATCTGCCTTGGTGGAGCAAATGTGTACATAAGCAAATATCTCAAACAGCAGTCAGACTGTGCAATCCTCTCCAAACAAACACAGCTAAAGATGGTAGCTAGCGTACAAAGACAGGATTAAAGATGGAGTGCATTTAACAGCTGAACATCAGTGTAAGGACTCCATTCAGTGTTTCTTTAAAGTGCATCTTGAATCAGCTCCTCCAGTAAGGTCAGGGCTGTTCTTTTTACAGGAGGCGCCAACCTTCAGCTGCCAGTTTCCCAGTTCTATAACTCATTCTCCTTCCAGCACCTGATGAAGGTGTCAGTATGACAAAGTAGTAGTATGGCCAAAGTATGGCTTGTACTCTCAGTTGAAATTTAATAATGCCTATGTCAAGTTATATGTAACCAAAGTCCTTCTAGAGGACATTTAGTGACACAGCAGTCATCTTTATTTTGAGGCTTCTATCAAAATTATACTATACCCATATTAACAGCAGGCAGATACAGTAGGCCAAGATTTTTTTTAAAATACACTGGACTTCATGTTTAGTATATAACAAGAAGATGTGCATGCTACTGCACAGTTGAAAGGGCTCTAATCCCTTAATAGTGCACAACTAGATGATTGGCTCATATGTTTTCCAGTTCAGCTGTTGATTGGCTCCTTGGGGGCAGAGCGAGGACAACCGCCATCCAGAACTGTACCATAAATTTCTATTGAGGATTCTTTGTTCCATGTTAATAGGAGTGTGGTTTTCAAATAGAGTCATAACATAGATATGAGATATGAACCTCAAAAACAAACAGCATTCACATCACCATCATGCCTGATTAGAACAAAGAAAATCATCTTTGGCTTTGGATATTTGCTTACAATAAACACTAACACTTCACACAAAGACATGCATTTGTTCTTGACATACATGAAGTTTGAACTATTTGCACATTGTGAATGACAATAATCACCTATAGGTGTATGGAAGTCAATTTCAGATGTTTTCATTTTAGTCATTTTGTTCTTGAGCTGGGCTTGTATATAGATCCAGTAGAAGAGAGAGAAGAAGAGCAGCAGCAGCAGCTGGCCCAGGGAGCCCAGAGAGAGCACCTTTGAGCTGGGCTCAACACAGCTGGAGTCCCCTCCCTCCCGGGGATGGGCTGGAAAAAAGTGTTTGCTCTGCATGTGTGTTTGCTGAGGAGCTTGGATGGGATCCCAATCTGTACATCTAGTTTACACCACATGCCCCAAGTATGTGGAAGCCTCAACTTTTGCAAATTTCAAAAGTGGATGCTAGTGCATGTCTGTGCATTACACAGTTATACATAGTGATGAATTAAAACTACAAATTACGCTCATTTTTATATTTCAGGGTTTTTTTAAGCCTCAGTTATCTTACAAACATAAAAATATTTCCATTTTTTGGTGGAAATGTAAAGCAAAAGCACTTTTTGTTGCCTGTTTTGGCATCTGGAAGTGCAACTTTTGTGAGTTTTGCCACTTTCGTCTAAGGTTTCTGTGATTCAGTGCTTTTACTCAGACCAATGAACAGCCTTGCTGACACTGGATTAGACCCATTTTACCTTCCTTGCATGAAATGTATGGACATAGCCCCTGTGAGCTCACACAATGTTTAGAGAAGTCCTGTTAGAAAGCCTTGTGCTGAGCTTTTTGATCATCTACATATTGGTGTTTTTTTTAAACCTGACATGACATCAGAGAAATGGTTCTGACTAAAATAAAAACAAGGACAGTGCATGCCACATCCCCTGGATCTTCCTCCTTTACCCAGGTCATAGAGAAAGGGTGCTGAGGAATCTTTCCCATCGCCTTTGTTTTAAAACCTTGTAGCCTTTTTGCAACCTAAGAAGATCTCCATTATGGCTGTTAGAAAGAATGCAGGTTCAAACTTCATTCTTCAGAGCAGGAAGCCAATCCATCTTTTATACTATCTATGAATACTTGAAATTGTATTAGCATTGTCCAACTTTTCCCAACAGATCAGGGACTTAACACCGCATGCTTCTCTGTGTCTGGCTGCAATATTCCCCACAATCTGACAATGGTGCGAATGGACTTTAGCAAAAGTAATTTGTAGGAATTTTCCTCTGTATAAGAAATGAATGCATACAAAGTCCTGGCACAGTAAATTACCAATTCCATCATAACTTTAGTGCTTTAATAATGTATGGTTGGCGCACCTGAACTTACCTCACGGCACACTGGCGTACATGGGCATACCATTTGAGACCCACTGCATAACACACACAAATCATGAGTCAGGGGGATTTCAAACACTGTTCTGAAATATATGCACACCGAGGTTGCTAACTGAAACAAAAGTTGAAACTAAAACTAGTTGTGAAAAAAAAAGTTACACAGAGTGCTTGTCATGTTTCGGGTGTGTGGAGGCAGGCAAAAAGGTGGACCCAAGAGCAGGACTCACGGAGACACAGGTGAACTCAAAACCCTCAGCTTTATTGAGGAAAAGCAGACTGAACAAAGAACTCACTAGACTGGAATGCAAATAAACTAGCAGGACGGCAAACAGAACACACGGGGGGGAGGGGTAAGAGGATGAACAGACGTTAACGACGCGACACTGACACAAAGACACACTGGGTTTAAATACACTGAGGCAGTAATCAAGGGACGAGAGACAGGAGGGGAACACACCTGGGGAAAATCACAACTGACGAGGCAGGGGAAACGTAACCTGAAAACACTCACATAAGACAAGGACCTTCAGAATAAAACAGGAAACTAACAGACACAGAGGACCAGACAAGACACCCTGGACAGACAGAGGGACATACTGTCACGGTCCTGGGTCTTATGACCCAGTGTTTTGAGTTTGAGTTCATTTTGATGTTTATAGTTTATGTTAAGCCCTTCAGGTTTTCTAGTTCATTTGTTACCATGTCTAGGTGATTTTAGTTCTTATTTCATGTTTCCAACCCATGTTAAGTCTCCCCTGCTCTTCATGTGTTTCATGTCTGTGTCTTATGTTGTCAAGTTCTGGTTGTCATGTCTGCGTTTCATTATGCTTCCTGTTTTATTTTGGCAGGAGTCGTGTGTTCTTGGTTCTTTGTATTTTAGCTTCACTGCTCCTGTCATTAGGTTCATGTTAGTCAGCTGTTTCCTCATGTGTCTCCACTTCCCCTGATCACCTCATGTGTGTAT